TTTTTTTGGTGGTACCTGTTATCAAACCCAGAGCCTTACACTTGCCAGGCAGGTGCTTATTCCGCTGAGCCATCTCCCGGGCCCTCCCTTTTTTCCATTCTTTCATCCCAGTTTCTTTTTCCTGTTAAAGTTTCTTCCCATTTTACAATATCTAATCAAAATATGACCAAAATATTCTTCTAATTCTGGGATCTGTGGTCCAGTGTTTATTGTTTAATTCAATAAATCTGATACTTAAATTTCTTAAAAGGATATTCAAATATCTTGGATTTTTTTTTTTCTAACTTCAATATTTAACAGGAGTGTTATGTTTTAGGCCAAACTTCTAACACCAGTATGGAATGCCATTCCTTCAGAAATGTCTGAAAAAACCCTCCAAGATAGTTCTGCTTTTTTAAGTCCTGAAGATTCTGTGCAGAAAACTGGTAAGTAATTTTTTATTGTTTAACGTAATAAGAAATTAAATTTGGGAATAAGTTTTCTTTTTTTTTAATATATGTGGTACAGGGTCTTACTATGCAGGTTGGACTTATAGTGATCCTCCTGTTTTTAGCCTTCCCAGAACTGGGATTACAGGTGTGAGCCACCTGTAATGTCTCCAGTTAAACCTGCTCTCAGTGTCTGGCTCAGAATGCCCAAGAGTGGGGCCAGTGCAGCATACAGTGCTGGGGATCAAACCCTGGTCCCTGTGCTTGCCTAAGCAGGTGCTTAGTCCACTGAACTATCTTGCTGGCTCTTGGGGTAAGTATTTTGAAGGAAGTCAATTTTTAAAATATGTATGAGAAAAGTATAAAGATGTACTTTTTCTCTTTAATGCCTCTAGTTAAACCATAACATACCACAATTTGTGGGACAGAAAAAATAGTACTGAGAAAGAAATTTATAGCAGTGAGTGGCTGCAAAGAGATAGAAAAATTCACATAAACAACCAAACAATGTGTCTATCAACTTGGGGATGCAAGAATGAGCAAAATCTCAAAGAACTAAATAGAAAGAAATGATGATCAGAGAAGAAACAAGAAAAACAAAAGACCAACGAAGAGCTCTCTGAAAAGTGACAAATCTTTAGTTTGACCAAAAAAAAATTGAGAAGACCCAAATACATAAAATTACAGGTGAAAAGGAAGAATTTCTGACACTAAAGAAATTACAAAGGATCATTAGGGATTATCAAAAACTCCATCATCAGTTGGAAAACCTAGTAGCAATCAACAAATTTCTAGACATATATGAGCTTAAAATGTTGAGCCGTGAAAACATAAAAATATGAATGATCCAAAAATAAGTAATGAGATAGACTAATGAAAATCTAACAGAGGAGCCTGGGACTGGATGCCGCCATTGCTAAATTTTCCCTAAGTTTTTAAAAATACCAGTACTTATCCAACTGTTTCATAGGCTAGAAGGGAAGAAAATGCTTCCAAACTCATTCTGTCAGGCCAACATTATTTGATTGTCAAAACCTTTTAAGAACACAACAAAAGAGAGCTATAAAACTCTATCCCTGTGAAAATAAATGAACATTATCGGTGAAATTTAGCAAATCTTGTTTGTCTACAATGCATGAGGCCTAGATTCAATCTCTTGTACCCTCCCCAAGCAAACAACCAACACCAAGCAATCTAGCAGATTGAATTCAGTAGCGTATCTAAAGGGTAATCCCCCTGATCACATTGTCTCCTTCCTGCCACGCCCTTTTGCCCTAGTGCCCTGCCTTTGAACCAGCTGATTCCAACTGTGAACTGAGAGAAAATAAATGTTCCCTCCTTTAACTAGTGACTATTTTGTTCCAGCAATGAGAAAAGTAGCTAAGGCATCCAGCAAATACCTAGAAAGAAACAGTCAACTTCATTAGCCATCAGGGAAATGCAAATCAAAACCATAGTGAGATACCCCCTCACCTCAATTAAAATGTCTGCTACCTAAATGGACAGTGCCCCATCACCACATCAGTGGTGGCAAAAGTGTAGAGGAGAAGGAATTTGAGTACACTGTTGGGAGTGTAAATCAGGACAGCTATCCTGGGGAATTGTACAAAGATCCTTTAGAAAACTAAAAATCTATCATATGATCCAGCTTTTCACTTACTCTTTTTTTTTTAAATTTATTTATTTATTTTGTGTGTGTGTGTGTATGTGCGTGTGTGGCCAGCTCAGCCCACCAGGGTGCGTGGCTGGCTGGCATGTGGTGCTGGGGGATTGAACTGCGGTCCCTGTGCTTTGCTAAGCTTGTTCTAAGTAGGTGCTTTAGACCACTGAGCCATCTCACCAGCCCTTCACTTATTCTTAATTTTTTTATTTTAAAAAGAATAGGGGGGCTGGAGAGATGGCTCAGTGGTCTAAAACACCTACTTGGAACAAGCTTGGCAAAGCACAGGGACCGCGGTTCAATCCTCCAGCACCACATGCCAGCCAGCCGCGCCCCCTGGTGGGCTGAGCTGGCCACACACACACACACACACACACACACACACCACACACACACACACACACACACACACACATACAATAAATGTTAAAATAAAAAAAAATTTTAAAAAAATTAAAAAAAAAAAAGAATAGGGCCGGGGAGATAGCTCAGTAGAAGAAGCACTTGCCTGGCAAGCACAAGGTCCTGAGTTGAATCCCTGGTACTGCAAAAACACACAAAAAAGAATACAAGTTTAAAAATGATACAAAAGTTTTAGAAAAAGATGGTAGGACATCAACAGTGGTTGTTATATTGTGCATTATCTTCAAAGTAGCTGTTAAGGTTACCAAATATAAGCAGGCAAAATTGGTAATTTTTTAAAAATTAAGCATTAAATGTTCCTTTCCATAAAACAATAGAAATTAGTAGTATAACTATCTTAGTGTATATATATATATATATATATATATATATATATATATATCTTCCTGTCTCTTTTCCCTCATTCTAGTTCTTTCCTTTTGAGCAGTTTCTTTCCCTTTCACAATAGCTATTGTACTTTTGGGATTGTGTTTAGTCTTTCAGTTTCTTACACTAGGGAGACAATATGATGTTTACATATGCAGGTAAGATTTACTCATAAGTGAAATAAATCAGATCCACTTCTTGATATGTACCAAAAGACGGTAAGATGAACATACCAAAGAGGTGCCCTCATACCCATGTTTGTTGTGACACTTTGCACAATAGCTGTGATATGGGATCCACCTACATTGCCGTTAATAGACAAATGGATACAGAAAAGGTGCTGTCTACACACAATGGAATAGTTTTGTGGGAAAATGGACAGAACTGTGTTAAGCCAGTAACAGTAAGGACCTCGTGTTCTCTCTTATGTGGAAGCTAAAAAATATTGAATGGAAGTAAAATAGTGATTGCTAGAGTCTGGGGGGGGTAGGTGCACAGCTAGGGCGGGAAAGGGATTTGGCTTGATCAGGGTATGACATATTCATGTATGGAGGTTATACTAGACTATGTACAATAATTTGTGTTCATATAAATATCAATCCATTGTGTTTTGAATGTCAGCAATGAATTATTCCTAAAGAATAGAATATTTAGGAATAAATTTAATCAGGGAAGGCCTGTGTACTCAAAACTTGTAAGACATTGAGAATAAAATCGAAGACCTAAGTAAACGGAAAGCTGTCCCATGTTCCTGGATTGCAAGAATTAATATTTTCAAAATGACCACATTATTCCACACCATTCACAGATTCCTTGTTATCTTTATCAAAATTTCTATGACTTTTTTTATCAATAATTCTAAAATTTATACGAAGCCACAAAAGGCCATAAATAGCCACAGCAGCCTTGAGGAAAGACAACAAAGCTGGACACATCATACTCAAACTGGATTATAAAACAAAAATTGGTGTAAATAGACCCAGACCAATGGAACAGAGTAGAGAGCTCAGTAGTAAAGCTAACTAGTCCTTGGGAAGGATACTGAGAATTACATGGTGGAGAAATTAATAACTGATAGTGGGAAAACTGGATATCTATATCTATAATAATGCGACTGTTCTCTTGTCTTATACCATATAAAATGAACTCAAGTGGGTCGAGGACATGAATATAGTATTGGAAGCTTTCTCTTAGGTAACCAGCTGTTTCTCTTTTGACATTTGAGATGAGGTCTCATGCTGTTGCACAAGCTGCACGGGAACTGTTGCCTCCTACTCTCAAGTAGCTGGGTTACAGGTGCACACCACTGGCCCTGGCTGAAATAGCTCCTTGATGTCAGCTGTGGCAATGTTTTTGGAATGTATTTTTTAAAAGCCACAAAGACAAGGGGCTTGTGTCAAACCAAAAAGCTTTGGGCAGTGTAGGAAATATCCTCCAACCTTTAGACTTGAGAAATATTTGTAAACCACACATCTGATAAGATGTTCAAAATATGCTGTATGATGAACTAAGACAACTCAATAGTAGACAACCGAATAACCCAATTAAAAATGGGCAAAATAAATGAATAGACATTTGTCCAAAGGAGATAGACAATGTCCAAAAAGTCTATGAGAAGAATTACTAGTCATCGGGGAAAGCAAATCAAACCCATCAGGAGTAATCACTTCCTGTTAGGACGGCTGTAATAAAAAAGAGAAAGCCTGTGGCGAAAACAGAGGAAAGGAAATGCTTATGCAGGGCTGGAGGGAATGTTGATGGGAACTGCCACTGTAGAGCACTGTGTGGATGCCCTTCCGCTCATGGAGACTGATCCCCAAGTCCCCTACTAGTTGTACACCTGAAGGCTGGAGAGCTATCTGTAGTCCTGTGTTCACTGCAGCGTCATTCCCAAGAGCCAAGATATGGACAGGGCTAAACACCCATCACTGGATGGCTGTATGAGGAGAATAAGGCAAGTTGCACCATGGAATATAGTCCCATATTCCACTGCAAGAACATTCTATCTGTGACAAAGTGGATGAACTTAGAGGACAATATCCTGTGCGAAATGAGCCTGATAATGAAAGAAAGCCTCAGTGCTGCGTGACCTCCCTTGTATGTAGAGACTAGAACACTCAAACTAATAGAAGCAAAGAGTAAAATAACAGAAGGAGAGTCAAGAATCACAAAGCTGAAGCAGGAGAAATCTTGCTCATGTGTCTGGGGCTGATGCGCAGCTCCTAAGTTTGCTGACGTAGTGGATGTAATCAACTATTTTATCCACAGACCTGCACACCTAACAGTCATGCATCCCCTGAAATGTACAAAGCTTTTTGTTTTATCTAAGACTTTGTGCCATCTTTTTATTATAATATTTAGCATAGAGAGCAGTAGTGGAATATTATTTGTTTCTTGGGGAGTTTATTCACTTGAAACTGTTCTGTCTAATCCTCAGAACTTGGAAGTCCTCACCCACTGAGTGATCTCTCTCCCTTGGAGGACTCAACAGTTGACGAGAACATGTCTCAGGTATTTAATTATTGCTTGGTTGGTTTTCAAGAATTATAATTGCATCCCATAATGACATACTCTTTTTCTAAGGAATGCTATAGCACCACTTTCTTCTTAGCAATTATACCCACATTATATTTGTATTCACTTTGTGTTCTGTGTTTGTCGTGTTTGTGTTTTAGATTGTAAACCAAGGGTCATTAATGGAAAATACAGGCTTCAAACATAAGCTGTCAAACTTGGAAGACAAAGGTGAGAAACTAATAAACATTTTGCAGAAAAAAGTAAAATTAATCTGGGCCATTATTCCGGTTGTGGT